GTTTCTCTTTGAGGAAAGTGGGCATCAGTAAATGCTACTGGTTGTCAAGAGGAAGGGGTCAGAAGAGAAGAGAAAAACCTGATTATATTAAGAAGTGACAATGGAGGAAAACCTCTTGATGCTGTTACAGACATTGGTTGGGTTTTTTTTCATGTGTTAGAAACTGGACCTCTAGTTTTCACATGAAATCACCCACATACACGAACTTCCTTTCATTTCCCTAGGATTTACAATCCCTAGGCCAGTGATGCTGAACATCCTACAGAATAAGTTTTGCTGCTCCCACAAAGAATTATCCAATCCCAAATATCAGTAGTGCCACATCAGAAGCCCTGTTCTAGGTGATTTTGTCAATCCCCTTGGCTTTGTACACCATCTAAAGTAGTGCTGACCAACATGATAGCCATAGTCACATATAGTGCTTTGAGTGTAAAATACCTATGGAATTTCAAAAACAGTATGGAAATGAATGTAAAATTACTTTTTAAATATGTCGAAGTGATGTTTTGGATATATTGAATAAAATACTTTATTAAAAATAATTTTATCTGTTCCTTATTACTTTGCTAAATTGGCTATTAGAAGTTTTCAAAATACATAATGTGGCTTGCATTTGAGGCTCACAGTATATTTTTGTTGGACAATTCCGATCTAGATGCTGAAGGCTCAAATTTATATCTCTCGTCCCAAACCTCTCCTCCGCTCAAAATTCACGGATCCAAAGACCTACAGTAAGTCTTCACTTAACGTAACTGATAGTTTCTTAGAACTATGGCAAAACAATGCATAATGAAACCAGTTTTACCATAGGCTAACTAATGTTAAACAAGTGTTAAGTTCTTACAGCATTCTCTTCAGTATTATAACAAAATGACCTTGACTGAGGATCTGCTGTACTTGAGAGTTCTCTCTTGGTTGTCTTAATATATCTCAAACCTATTATGTCTGAAACAAAACTCCTCAATCTCCCAACTCCAAAATTATTTCTCCTTCAATTATCCCCATCTCTTTAAATATTACCATATATGTAGGTGCTCTAGCCAGATTCCCAGTAGTCATCCTTGATTCCTTCCTCATTTCTCATCCCCCTTCATCTATTCTTTAGCATATATTATATCAAACGTTGCCACTTCTGTTCATGTCTTTGCCACAACGGTAGTCAAGATCATACGATCATCTCACAGGACTACTACAGTGGCTGCCTCCTTTCTTCCTTTTTTCCCCTCTCTTCAATTTAATCTCCATTCAGTAGCTGAGATGATACTTTTAACTATAAATCAGATGGTCACTCTATAACTTGGATCTTTCAGCAGTGTCCTATTTTATTTAAAATAAAAAGCAATCCCTACCTTGGCCTTAAGTACTTTGAAATAATCTGGCCTCTACCCCACACTCCAGTGTCACTTCAGGACTATACCTCAACAACTACTCTTTCTAACCATACTGGCCTAGCTTTCAGATCCTACTTCAAGGCCTTTTGTACCTGAAGAACCTTCCCATAGACCGCTGTAGGGCTAATTTCTTATCCTTCAGTTCTTAGCTTCAGGATCAAGCATCCAGGGGCCCTTCCTAATAATCTCGAAGTATGTCTCTTCCCATTTTCCCTACTTCTTACTACACCCAGTTTATGTATTTTGTGGCAGTTTTCCCAATTTTTTTATTGACTAGTTTTTTCCTCACAAAATTTTAAGCTATGGGTCAGGAAATTGTCCTAGAGCCTGACACAAAGCATGCATTTGATAATGTATATATGGAAGCTGCCATTGAATGATGTGCTCCTGTTGGGAATATACTACCCTCTGCCCTTGCCCCACACATTCCTAGTCTTAGTAGTCACCATTCTAGAAACTGAGTGCTAGCATAGGACCAGGCCTTGGGGTAGGAGTCATGGGTGGCTGCTCTTAGGGCTGGAGTCTTGCCCCATCCCATAGTCTTCAGCAGTCAAGAATGGCAGAGCTGGTGGAACTGTTTGATAAGCTAGGAGAGCCCTTTAGCTTTGAGATTTGGTGATCCTAAATGCAGAGCTGGAGTGGGTTTGTCTCTATGTCCCATAGCTGGGCAAAAAACACAGGAGGGGGAGCTGGAATTTCAGGATGAAGAGGGAGTGATGACAGCTCTCTTCCCTCTATCTCCCTGCACACAGTCATTGCTGTTTTCACAGCGCCTGTACTTGCCCCTCCATAGCCGTTATCACAAATGTAATTAAGGTTTGCTTCTCTACTAGGAATCACGTAGGTCTCGTTCACCACTCAAATCCTGGCTCATAGTAGGAATTCAAATGAATTCAGGAGCATTTACTGTGAGAGGCCTCAATGGACTCTGAAATGGTCTATGAGAAACTTGGTCTTGGTAAACAAAAGGGATTTTGTACCCACAACATAAAATTTCTCATGTAAGAACTGAGGTTTAGAAATAAACACAGTCTTTCTACATTGGATGAAAACCCCTTTCTCAGTGTTATCTATTTTAAGGGAATGAAAGGATTTTCTAAGGGAAAAACAATTTTAGGATTCTGCAAAGCTATTTTCCTCCTCAAATAAGAAACTTACTCTACCATCTAAACTGTGTTGTCCAATATAGTAGCCACTAGCCAATTGTAGTTAATAGATTGAAAAGAAATCAAGTTCTCAGCTTCATTAGCCACATCTCAAGTCTTCAATAGCCACGTGTAGCTAATTATAAGTAAAATTTTAACAACTCAGTTTCTCAAGCCACATTTTAAAGACTTAGTAGCTACGAATTGGACAGCACCCATATAGAACACTTCCAACATTACCCAAAGTTTTATTGGACAATGTTGATGTAGAGCTGTTTTGCAGAATCCTTTTTTTTTTCTTACTTGTCCTGACAGTGAGATAGAAATCAAAGTATGTTAAACTACTATGTTAAGTTAGCACAGAGGACTGGAGATTTTGGTGAGGCCCGCAAACCTGTACATATTTCTTTGCTCTGCCTGGTATGTTGCAGATTAATCACACAGAAATCCCAGTACCTCTGCTTTATTCTCCCTTTTTTAAAACGGGCAGTCCTGCCTCCTTGAGGAATGTTGAAGCTAAAACAGGCCTTGTGGCCTGGCCGGTGTGGCTCAGTGGACTGAGCGTCATCCCATGGACTGTGAGGTCCCAGTTCAATTCCCAGTCAGGGCACATATCTGGGTTGCAGGCTCAATCCCCTGTAGGAGGCAGCCAATTAATGTTACTCTCTCACATTGATGTTTCTCTCCTTCCTCTATCTCTTAAAAAAAAAAAAATCAATAAAAATATATAAAAAATAAAAATAAAACGGGCCTTGTGTACTTCACTACTAGTTGGAGAATATGCATTCACAGGGTAAACTCTCTAGATCAGCAGTTCTCAACCTGTGGGTCATGATCCCTGTGGGTCACGATGGTCACCTAAGACCATCGGAAGACACGACCCCTTTATCCGTCTCCAGGCAGTTCCGCTCACGTGCAGTTACACCCACATACAACATGAGAAACTGTATTAAAGGGTCGCGGCATTAGGAAAGTTGAAAGCCACTGCTCTAGATTATTGTATCCTGACCCTCACCCCCAAAAATGGGGAAAAATTTGCTCCACCTATGTCAGGATTATTTTAAGTATAATATATGTGGGGAAAATGTTGTATAATTATAAACACAGATAATCCAAACTTTTTTTTGGTTAATCCTCACCCAAGGATATGTTTCCACAGATTTTTAGATCGAGTGGGAGGGAGAGAGGGAAAGAAACATCAGTGAGAGAAAGACACATTGACTGGTTGCCTCTGGCACAACCACCAGGGCTGGGGATCGAACTGGCAACCCAGGTACGTACCCTTGACTGGGAACTGAACCCAAGACTCTGGTCCTTGGGCTGACGCTCTAGCAGCTGAGCCAAACCAGCCAGGGTAGAACTTTTTATTTATCCTCACCCTAGGACATTTTTTTTTTTTCATTTATCTTGCAATAAAGTGGGAGGGAGAGAGAGAGACACATCGAGTGGCCGCCACCCACATGACCCCAACTGGGGCCGGGGACAAACTGCAATTGAGGTACGTGCCCCTAGCAGAACCGAACCTGGGCCTCTTTGGTCCATAGGCCAACGCTCTAACCGTTGAGCCAAACTGGCCAGGGCTAGGGCAGAAGTTTTTTAAAATTATGTTTTTATTGATGTTTAGAGAAAGGAAGGGCAAGGGAGAAAGAGAAACATCAATGTGAGAGCGGAACACTGTTCTGCTGTTTCCTGCATGTTTCCACCTGGGGATCGAGTGCAGAGCCCAGGCATGTGCCCTGACTGGGAGTCAAAACAGCAACCTTTTGGTGCACGGGACGACCGGCCAGGGTAGGTAGTAAGAATTTGCATGTCAACATTTCCATATAAGATACAATAAAGCTTAAGTAGGGTTGAGTCTATCATTAAATTTGTTTATGGGGATCTAAATAATGGTAATAAAAAAAAGTCTATAAATCTTTTAAAAAATAATTCTAGAGGACACATTTCATTGCAGAATGTTGTCACTGCCAATCATTAATATCTTTGTTTTTCTGCTCAAAATATTATGTTTCTCTTTTGATTTATCATAACTATCTTATTCATTTTAGCCAAAGTCTAACCCTAACAGAATATTAACACCATGGGAAGAAAACTCTTAATCGTAAGTGAATTTAATACACTATGAAGTCAAATGGAGTCCTTGGTGATACTCTGGCTCAATATATTCCTGGTGCAGAGCTCTCCCTGTGGGTCTTACTTCTATCACTACAACCTGGGTTTGTTAGCCTTTAAACTGGAAAGCACAGCTCTGGTTGTTTAGAATGAAGGAGCGTATTTATCAGTGTCTCAAGATGCTAACCTTTCTCCACTCTTTGTTGAGACCACGTTACTGACTTCACTAAATCCTTCCTTCTACTATCTAAATTTCAGGCGATTCATTTGAATTTTGTAGTTTGAGCACAACTGGGAAAGAAACAGAAGATAATGGTTGTAAACAATAGTCACATAAACACAAAAAAAATACTTAAGTGTTAGAAACGTTTATTTGTCAAAATATTAAAAAAAAAAGGTGGGAGGAGTGGAGTAAAACAAGGCTAAATTTCAGCTAATGCTGTACCACGATCACAGGTCAGACATGAACAAAACAAAACAAAACACCCCCCAACCCCACCCCAGTGGTCCTAGCAATTTCAGATTAGCTTCAATGTTAGAGTCCAGAGCTAACAGAGAAGAGGTAAAAGGTTGCTTACCACTACATGGTCATTTTAAAGGGAAAGGAGAGGTTGCAGGTAGAAAGGGAGAAGGGTTCAACTCCTAAGGAAAGCAAGATAAGAGGGGTTCCACTGTACAGGAAAAAGGGGATGCCAGCAAAATCCTTACCTAGGGCTGCTCAGAGGCTGAGAATGTAAGGAATAGAGTGAAAGGCTACAGACACTTGTATCAGGAGGAAAGAAAAGTCAACTTAGAAGAATTAAATTAAGAAAGAAAACATAGTTGGTCACAAACTCCTTTGTTTACTGAAACATGAAGCAATGGAAACGTCCCGGCAAAGGGGACCGCGCGGAGCAAGTTCTCATATATGACCGCAGCCCGAGGGTTCAGTCCGCAATTATCCTACCTGAAAGAGAGCACAACACAAGAGGCTTACACAATGCCTGGAGAGCAGCTTGGCTCCGAGTACAAGGGCCCTGGGTCCTGTCCTGTATTCCAGGGGGAAAAGAAGAAAGAACAAAACAAAACCAAGTCAGACTGAATCAAACCTATCCCATGTAATTACCCAGGACTCTAATGATTATATATAGGAATCTACTTATACCTATAATAATAGAACAAGAAACAATCTATCTGGAAGACTGCTGTGTTGGTGATAAATACACATTTCTCATTTTCTAATCCATCTTTTAGGCCAAACAACCTCTGTGATACAAGGCTACTGTTACTACACCAAAGGGCATACAGATATTATCAAGAACTGCAATTTAATTTTTGGGTCCAGGAAAAGCAGAAGATGCCAAGATCTCAAATATGGCCAACTGCATTACTTATTCTAAATTTGTTTCATTTTAATCTTTCATAGTAAACAAGTTTTCAAAAATAGCAATCACAAAGGGTATCAAGGACTGTTCATTTACCCTCCAACATACCTACATGTCATAGTCATATATTTAGAGCCACAATTCTAGTAGTTCCCCTAATTGACCACATCTCCCTTTTCAAATCAAAAGAAGAAATCCTATAATTCTCTAATTCTTCCATTGATGATGGAAGCTCCAGACACCAATGGCTGGGGGGAAAAAAAAGTTAACTCACACCAAGCTCCTCTACTTATTACAGACAAAGGGCCAAATCTTGGTCTTGATCTGTGCCAATCGACTTCAAAAGTTGTGACGTTCTTGAATCAGTGCTGCTAGGGTGAGACCCGAATTTGGATCCCCAACAGTTCTGGAGTATTTCATCCTGGCAGCCTCATTAACATCAGGCTCCTGGGACTGCAACCAACTCAGGGTTATTCAGTCCATTTGAGGTTCACACCTGGAAGGTAAGTTTCTTTAAAAGTCATCATTAAAAAGAGGTTAGTTGAACAACCACTGCTTGCAGTCAAAATTCACTTTAAAATACCTAGGCAATACCCTTTAAAGACCACATATACTATTAAATATTTAACTTTGACACATATTCAAAAGAAACAGAAGTTATCTGATAGATAATACCACATTATTTTAGAGGCATATCCCACTTCATGGCAGATTCAGCTGCATTAAAAGTAAAAATTAATGGCAAACTACACAAATTGTAAGGTTATCCACTTCATGCACATGAACACACACTGCTACACAATGGTCTCTGGAGGTCCCAGTCTTGTCATCGTCTTAAGGATATCACTTGCCACAAGTTCATGCCACATTTGCTTCTCACTATGAAAACAGGAAAATTCCTATTTCTTTGTTTTCATCTAAACATATACCAAAGGGATGTTAGGAACCCTGAAAACTCAGTGGAAACTAACTTTGCTACTAGGCCTCCTATTCAAGTGATTCTCAATTTCAAGGTACTAGGAAAACCATGAGAATAGAAAGTTGTCATCATACCATTTCCACTCGGATGAAGAGATTTATCAATCTTGAGATACTCCCAATTATTCTCGCCATTCTAACATGTTTTGTATACATCTGAAGTAGGAAAAATTAACTTCCCAGGGTCAGCACCAATGGGATTTTATACACATCAAAAGATATCCTGGTTTACCTAGTTCCTTAAATACTACTTTCAAACAAACAAACAACAAAAATTGCTGGCAAAAATGGGAAGCATCAGACTCTACATGATAGCATCATTGGCTATGCAGAGATGTACAGCTTAAGTGCTCATGTAGAATGCGATGCTCCAGACTACTAACAAGGGAAGGACTTCACGGGACAGTGGCATCAAAACATTCCACTTTCAAGCAAGTATCTTATAGAACTTTGTTTGACTCATAGCTATATATTAGAAGAGTTTCCTCTGATAAAGGCTAATGACCTACGTCGTCGTTTTATTAGTCAGCTGGAAGTCTAAAGTTACAGTTAAAATTCTCACCGTGACATTAACTCCTGAACCTGTATTCTTCATCTTAAACCACAGTGACTTCAGTGGAAAGAGGATAGGTTTAGGAGTCAGCCAGGGGTGAATTCTGGCTCTACCTCTCAATTATCAGATGACTTCAGGCAAAGTACTTAACCTCTCTGAGGCTTAGTTCCCTTCTCTGTAAAACAGAACATATCTTAAAAACTTACTGTGTAGATTAAATAATAAATACAGAGGGCACTCAACAAATGTTAGTTCTCTTAACTATATTTCTGTAACCCAGATCTGCTTACACTTGGTTAAAGAACAATATTCTAACAAACTGAGTTTGTTCTCTCAGAGGGAACAAGATGGTGAAATGAACCTTTGGCTTAAGCTAGAGAAATATTTAAGACTAACATATAATGTATACCTTTTGGATACTAATGTCCTGATAGCAGATGGCTTTAGCTTCCCCTATGCAGCATGGGTCTCTTTCAAGGGAACTAAATGGAATCTCTTAACCACACCCACCCCGCTCTCACCTCCAGCTTTTAAAAGGCTGAGTACCGCGCTCGGTCCACATACTGCTCCCGCTCATACCGGGCCATGTCATACAGAGAATTCCGTGCAGCTGCTGAAGCCTGAGACAGCTCACTCTCTGGCCCATAACCGTAGCCCTCTCCAACTGTGGGGAGCACAGCTGTAGCACGACGAAGGGGGCTCCTGTCCCTTCCATAGTAGGAGGAAGTGGTGGCAGCGGCAGCAGCCATAGCAGCTGAGGTGGCAGCACCTGAGTTCGGCAATAGGTGTCTGTCGTAGGGATCAACAGAAGTGGAGTTGAGGTGACTGGTCACAGCTGTATTCTGGACTTGAGGCAGATGGGACATGGTCTGCTCTGCGTAGTTGTACGCAGAAGCTGCTGCTGCTGCTGCCACTGCCTCATAAGAGCGGACCCGGTAACGCTTATAGTAGTCAAGTGCTCCATATGCATCGTTGTAATACATGGATTCCCCGTAGCCCATGGTGTAGGGCGTGCGCACAGCTCCGTATTGTTCATTATACTGCTCTGTAAAGTCTGCCACGCGACCTGTACGATCTACTGGGCACTCTTTTGACCAGTGCCCCTCTTTCCCACACCGATAGCAGCCACTCTGGTCTCCCATCCCAGGGGCAGTCCGAAGGCGGCTTGTGGACAACTGCACATGCATTCTTTTGCCTTGGGGAAATAGATATAAGATTTATTATAACTCACTGATATTCTTTATCCTTCCTGAAATGAAAGTAAACTAATTGGTACAAAACACACATACATACACACACTCCTGAGACCCTGTTTCAGCAATCCCTCCAAAAGCAGTTGAAGTGATGTTTTAATACAGATAAGAGCTAGGATATTAGAGTTCTCAGACCAGTCAATACTTTCCATTAACACCAGGTAGACTGGATTCCCTCCTACTTCTGTCTCAACTTTCCTTTCCCCACCAAACACAGAAATTGAGTTTTTACTTTTCACTGCTAAGACTGAGATTTTACTTATTTATTTTTAATGGGACTGTGAGATTTTTAATGATTCAAAACCTGCCAATTCTTCCAAATCAAATATCCAACAAAACCTCAGTTATGCCAGATTTGGAAAGTATCTTACCAACCTCTCCCTAATTTACTAATGGCTACATTAGGCCTGAACATTTACTGCAGCTTGAAAACCACAGCAAACTTCTGTCCATCTTGTTTCTTTCAGCCATTATTGCAGGCGTCACAGAAGGCTATATTGGGTACACAAACCATACCTGGCTCATCATATACTTTATCTAGAAGTGATAATACTCTCCAGATTTCAACTCCACCCTCACTTTTTTCAGCAAGGGTGAATCCATGCCTACTGTGGAAAAGAAAACTACTTGACCAAGGTCTCTCAACAGGAAGAATGAGATCTTGAAGCAGTACTAGTTTCTTAGAGACAGTGTGCTCCCATGTAATGGAATAATTAGCATTTCATCCTGCCATGTAGCTTGCAGTTCTGTATAGGAGATTATCTCCTTGTTAGAAAAATCCAGCATTTGTCTCAAGTCTTCTGGGCACAAACAAGCCACATCCAGAGAATGACCAGCGCTAAGGAACAGCTAAGAGAAGAAACAATTTTTGCCCTGGGTTTGTGTACCACCAAGCTCAGGGACTCTTACTGATGAAAGCATCCAAGGTCCTTAAAAGCAGTTTGAGAAAAGGAATATTTTTGGCAGTATTTAGTCCCAAACTGCCTGAGACTTTGGAGATCAAGTCAATGCTTTTCAAATTTTAGCCAAAATGCAGCCAGTACAGACAAAGGGAACAGGCTTTGCATCACTCTTAAGGGCTGCTCAGAACAAATCCCCCCTCCATGATCACCAAGTTGCTCTCTCTTTGACAGACCTTGTTCTGGATGCAGTTATGCGATAGGAGGCCTCGTGCTCCACCATCCTGTTGGAAACAGCCCGATTCAGGACGGCAGCCAGAACAGCGCCATGCACTGACCCTGAGAGGGGAGCGGGTTAGTGCAGTAATATCACTTTAGTCACACTCATTTCCGCCCAGTGTCTAAGATTCCTACCACCCCATTTTCCGGCAGTTGCTGCCTCCAACTTAAAACCCCCCCTTTTTTTTTTAGCAGAAACAAAGGTGCTCAGGTTTTTACTTCCAGCTGCTAGCAGAGAGGCAGCATCCACCAACATCATCATCACTGATAGTCAACAGATACCAAATGGCAATAATTCTCTGAAAGCAGCATTTAGCCATCCTGTTTTCAGAGATTTAAATACTTTTTCTAATTCTTAGAAGTTTAGGGCCATATGGTAACTATGCATAGAACAGAAACACAGATTTTTGCCCCAATTTATATAGCAAATGTAGAGTTCATTGTAATTTAGACTGGAGGATTACAAATTACTTGTCTTTCAACCATGCATGGTGACATTAATCTGTGTGACAGACACAAACTGTGCTCCAATTCTGCAGTCAGAGTAACCATGCCAATCGAAAAAGCGGCCAATTCAGGAGACTCAGAAGCATCTTTTTGAGGAAAAACTTTCCATTTAACTTGCTCTTTACTTTTATGGATTTTGGGTGCTTTTTTTTTGAGACACAAAATCCAGTGATGTTTCCTTGATGTTTCTGTTACTACATCCAATCTTTATCCCTGCTTTAAAGACTGGAACTTCTAAGTTTATAAACTTCTGTGGCAAAATCTACCTTTTGTAATAACTGTGAAAAGGACTTAGGTAAGAAATTTTTTCTTTTACCCACAACTATAAAATCTATGATAGAAGTGATAATTCCCCCCCCCCCCAGTCTTCCCAAAAATTTATGCTTTTAATTTAAATCCCCTAAAGTTCTTATAATAATTGAAAAATACTGTGCTTCTCTATTACCTTAAGGAACCAGGGCAAAGAAAACTCCAAGAAAATTAAATTCTACCTGCCCTACATGTGGAGAGGCCAAAAACTTAGAAGATTTTCTGAGACCTTGAAAAGTTACTGAAATGGACTGCCAACACTTTCCAGGAAACTAGCCCAATAAAAGTGTTTTCTTCTGCCCTGGCCTGCCTGCATTGCTCAGTGGTTTGGGCATGGCCCGATCACCAAAGGGGTGAGAGTTCGATTCCTGGCCAAGGGCATGTACCTGGGAGGGGAGGGGGAGCAGGCATATGCAGGAGGCAACCAATCAATGTCTCTCTCGCATCGATGTTTCTCTTGGGTGAGGAATAACAAAAACAACAACACATCTGGAACAGAGAAGAGTATTAAAATGCTGAGATGGGCAACTTGGGTCCTAAATGCTGCATTCCTATCACATGCCAGGATCCAGAAGGCTGGGGATGTAGTTGATACACAACAGTACTTCAATTTCATGCTTGTTTACATATTGGGAGAAAAACACCCGAGACCCTAAAACTCTTACATATCATTTCCAATTCAGCTTCCTGAACTGTTACCTGGAAAGGTTTCTTTTAAGGTTTTCCAATGCAAACTGTTTGCTAATTAAGTAGTGGTGCAGTTCACTGCTGCTTGTGGAGAGCAAACAGACCCTGTAGGACCCCGGTAAACTCAGATTCTGCTGCTTCCTTTTAGAAAGTCATACAACACAGAAGCCTCAATGGCAGTCATTAACATATAAAGGTTCACTTCAAAAGATGCCTAAAGTGGCATTCTTAAGAGGCTACCTTCATTAGATACCCAAAAAGGAGTTGTCAAAAAATGTGATAAATTGGTATCTAGATTGTATTTTCTGTAAAACTGCAACTTATTATCCAATGCTAAACTTTCTCTTGTCATCTGGGGAAAAAAGAGCTGGTTAGAAAGGTCTATGTGTGTAACTGTATGTTGTTCAGAGAGGTCAGGCTAAGAACATGAAAACCAAAGAAAGCATCTTTCTTTTTCAATGACGACACTTAAAAAAACCTTATGGATTATATGTTACTTAGATATTTACTTCCTAAAGTAATTAAACCCACTTTATTACAACACACATTCTTCCCAAACCAACTTCCCCCAATGAACTGACTTCCATATACATATTTTTGACCTTATCCCTTTATTCAATTGTATCAAAAGATAAGGACATGCAGTATTACACTATTAGTATATCTCGGCAGTTTGTACCTGACTTTAACTGCATTCTTTTTACATTTTGCTTGTTACCTGTCATGAGAGAATCCCCAATTCTCTCTGCCACTGTCCATTCATGATTCCCTCTCCTATCAAACGAAAATAATTAAGAATATTTTTAAAGCTGTCTGAAGTGCAACAGCTTTCCAAGATAAAATAAAAACAAATACATAGGAATAGCTATCACATTTTAAATAAGTTTCTAACCCAAACAGAAACACACTCATTGTTGCGAACAACACTCACCTTTCACCAGATAGTTTTTACTGTAAAACACTTTCACATCTCTACCTCGTTTTAGCCTCACTACCATCACATCTCTACCTCAGTCTAGCCTCACTACCATCCGGTGAGGGAGGTACCGCAGGGATCATTAACTCTATTTTATAAGTGGAAAAAATGAAGCACAGAGAGGTTAAAAACACTTGTCCGAAGTCATAAGGCTAGTTAACGGTAGCAAGCATCTACGACTTTTGCCTTAAGCTTTAAAGAGCAGCTAAAGTCCAGGGCACCACCACTGGCTGTGACCAGAGATATCTGATGCACTATCTGCAATCTCCACTATTTGCTAACTTTCTTACCCTTTTCTGGTCAACTTTTCCTCTTCTTCCATTTCTTTACTCACTGTTTGCTAGGTTTAGCAGAGAACCCTTAAATGCTTCTTAACAACCCTTTTACTGGCACTCAGACAAAAAATGATGTTAATTTATGACCCCGAAAAGTAGCTGTAAATGTGTGCTCCAAGATGACACTGTCAATAAAAACCTTGTAGAATAGTGCTGTCCAACAGAACTTTGCATGATGATTGATGGAAGTGTTCCATATCTGCACTAATACAGTAGCCACTCACCTCACGTGCCTTCTGAGTGCTTGCAATGTGTGCAGTACAATTGAGAAACTAAACTTCAAATTTTACTTCATTTCAATTTAATAGCTACCTGTGCCTAGTGGCTACCATATTAGTACAGTTCTAGAGTCATCAGACAACCTCCTGTGGTATTAATGACAACATATGTACCTTTATTATTGGTATAAATAACGTTATTTACTAAAATATTTTACTGGAATCAGAAACAGGACCATAATCCCCATTCAATCTAATTATTTTAGAATTTCTTTTTTCCCTTAGGATTAAATAATAAGTGGAACAGAATACAGACAGTCCTCGACTTATGGTAGTTTGATTTTGTGATGATGTGAAAGCGGTATGTGTTCAGTAGAAACCGTATTTCAAATTTTGATCTTTCCCCAGGCTACTGATACGTGGTATGATACTCTCATGATGCTGGGCAGTAGCGCAAGAGCCACAGCTCTGTCAGCCATACGATCACAAGGGCAAACAATACTCTACAAGGTAGTATTAAATGCATTTTCGACTTATGATATTTTAAACTTACGATGGGTTTATCGGGATATAACTCTATCATAAGTTGAGGAGAAATGTAGTCCATGGCATGGTCTTTGGCTCTGCTTGAGCTGAACAAATTTGAGCACTCAAAAGATACTCCCCCAAATCCAGATGAACCACTCAGATTTATAACAGAAATTCCTCCACACGTCTGCTCCTCTTGCCCACCCCAACGCATCACCCATGGTAGTAAAGAGTATAAATCCTACATGTCTCAAACATAAGGCCTTCTGGTCATAACTAAAGCAGCAGGTAAGCCCGGCTGGTGTGGCTCAGTGGTTGAACGTTGACCCATGCACCAAGAGGTCGGGGCACATGCCTAGCTTGTGGGCCCAATCCCCAGTGGGGGCATGCAGGAGGCGGCCAATTGATGTTCTCTCTCATCAATGTTTCTATCTCTCTCCCCTCTCACTTCCTCTCTCTCTCAAATCAAGAAAATAAAATAAAATAAAAATAAAACAGCAGGTAAGCCACAGACATTTATCCACCCTTTTCCTTTGAGGTACCCATTGGTCCAGGCAGATTAAACTTCTAACAGCACTGAAATGAGTAAAGCCTAAAGATAAAGTAACCCAGAGTTTGCAATTCTACGCAGTTGTCGACAATCTGTAAAGAATTTGGCAGATTGGAAGTGTAAGTAATTATGCTTAAAAATGGTAAATATACAATCTTCCTATTATTTCCAGCTAAAATAGAATGGAAGGCACCCCCTGTCAGCCCTATGGTCCTGTGTTCTTGCCTCTGCCTTGAGCTAGACCCCACTCAGTTCTGCCACCCAGACCTCAGACAAGTTCACCTTGAAACTCTGTGTTGTCAAGGCCCCTGATGGCCTCCACCGCATCTTCTGCCCGCTCCATGTGTACAAAGGCATAATCTTTCACGATGTCACATTCGATGACTGGACCATACTCCTCAAACTTGGCCCGAAGCTCTTGGTTGGTACAAGTAGGACTGATGTTGCCCACATGTAACTTGGTTGAAGCTTTGCTCTTATTCTTGCTGGCTTCCACGTTGATGTTCACCCCGTGCAGCTTGTAGTGGTGCAGGTTGCGTATGGCATCCTCTGCCGCCGTCTTGTCCTCTATGTGCACAAAGCCGTAGTTCTTAATGATGTCACATTCCAGCACCTTCCCATACTGCTCGAACAGTGAGCGGATCTCCTGCTCTGTGGCCTCCCGGGGCAGGTTTCCTATGAACAGCTTCACCATCCTGACAAGAGCCTGAGACAGAACAAGATTTCCAAAAGTTAGGGGTGGAGCGGGCACTCTCAGTGCCTTGCCTTTGGTTAAATCCTCCACAGAACTTCTTGGCACCTTCAAGACCCTCACACAGACATCCGTGGTTTTTTTCCCTCAAAAGAAGAAAGGTTTGTTCTTAGGGAGTAGTGCGAGCTGTGTGACCTGCAAACAGGAGCTCGGGGGTCGGCATGCGTCGCATTCTCCACCATCTCCGTGAAATGAGGCGCATTTAAGTAACAGTGTTAGCCGTTTCACGTCTCAAAATACTCTTTGGGGGACAGGAAAGAGAAGAGCCCAAGCCAGGGGCAAGAAGCGTGTATCTGAGTAATCCCGGCCACAAGGTTTTGGAGGGAAATGTGTACCTCTCCTCTCTGAGGCTTCACCTTCCACGATACTCTAAGAATAAACGGGCCCCTAGACCCCAATCCGGGACCCGACCCCCATGCCCCAGCGGCCCAACCTCCAGCTCCTTCGCCCCAACAAAGGCTCAACCCGACCCCTGCCCCGCCCCCTCCGGAGACCCGGCCCCGCCTCCTCCCGTTGTCTTCCCCGGACCTCCCCCAGAGAAACCCAAGCCCGGGGACCTCTCCGCCCGCTGAGGCCCGGCCTGGCCCGCCCCAGCCCGCCCTCGGGCTCCCCACACACCGACAAGACCCCCTCATACCTCCGGGTGGCGGCGGCGGCGGCGGCGGCTCCCGCGTCAGAGAGAACCCTACAAAATGGCGAAGGCCGCTCGAGCCTCGGCGCGACCCGGCCCTCTCTCGCGCGCCAGCTCACGCACGCGCGAGTGCGCGCTACCTCTCCCCTCCCCCTCGCGGGAGCCGGGCAACCAATCCCACGGCCGCATGTAAATGACTGGCCCTGGCTCGGCTCCCAGCCACCCCGACACCGGGGTGGGGCCAGCTGGTGACGGCGCTGCGGAGCCGAGGTTAGCCCGCCCCCAGCCCCGGCCAGCCAGTCACCACCCTGGAAGGGGTCGCTGCTCGCGCGTCAGAAGGGCTCCGGACGCAACCACTGCCTCGGTGAAATCTGAAGGCCGGTGTCACTAATCACCACAATGGATGATGCTACAAGGGCCCGCTGCAGCGGGGGCGGGGGGCCGGCAGCTGATGACAAAGGGTTATCTCGCTGGATCCCCTACGAAGGCTTTCTCAGCGGGCTGGCCCACCTCTGGGGCAGCTTGGGACATCTTAGAAATACAGACGCGCCACATTTTAAGCAAACCTACTCATTTTCGGTAGAGCTTTACACATGATTTAATGATTTGTCACTGCAAACATATTCTTCATTGGTGAAGAGACAGAACCAAAGACGGCAGAGCTGGGATTGCTCTAGGAGGCATTCTATCCAGGCTATCCTTCGTCATGTTCTGTTCGCTCGTGTGTATACATGGGCTGGTTTTCTCCCCCTAGCTTGAGTATAAGCTCTGGGTGTCCTCACAAGTCCTGCTTTGTGGTGAGCTCACCAAAGGAATACGTGGTGCAAAGGCCCAGAGAGGTTCCTTGATTTGGGTGTGGGACAGGGTCTTCACTTCCACACCAAGCTGTGGGACTAGGCAACTGTGAGTCCCTGGGCACTGTCTAGCATTCAAAATTCATCTGTGGTCTAAGGGCACCTCCTGGTGGCAATAGGGAAGCTATTAGGTGGATTACTCACTGTCACTCTTGAACAAAGAATAGACATTTATGGAGATTAATGGACTGAGTTTATCTCTGCGTAGAGCATGCCGGGGTGATTGTCAATCACCATTCCTCACTGTGGTGGCTCCGTGGAAGCTTTTCTGATACCATCAGGCTGCCCTCTTCCTTGTCAGCTACTTTTTGCTTCCCAACCATTTCAGAAGAGGCACCGTTCTTGCAATTTTATTTTATTTTATTTTTATGATTATTTTTGTTAATCCTCACCGGAGGATATTTTTTCCAGTGATTTTGAGAGACAGCAGAAAGGAGGGAGGGAAGGGGAGAGAGAGAGAGAGAGAGAGAGAGAGAGAGAGAGAGAGAGAGAGAGAAACATCAATGTGAAAGGGGCACATCGACTGGTTGCCTCCTGCAGGACCATGACCAGGGCCGGGGACGAACCACAACCAAAGTTCGTGCCCTTAACTGGAATCAAACCCGTGATTCTTTGGTCTACAGGTTGACACTCTAACCACTGAGCCAAACTGGCTAGGCTAATTATTACTATTTTTTTTTAGAGAGAGAAGAAGGGAGAGGGAGAGAGAGATAGGAACATTGATGGGAGAGAAACATCATTATACTAGTTTTTATCCTGTTTCTTCATACCTCTGACTGCACCATTCCATTTCCTTCCCCGCCCCATCGATTTCCTTACTCTTATTTATTCTCTTTTATCTCTTTTCCCTGTAGCCCATAGGCAATCATTCTAATGAGTTTAATGTGTATTATTTTGTTTGTGTTCTTGCAAGACGTCTTTTTAGTGCACACCTGCTTTTTCCATTAATAAATGTTTTATGTGGAAATTTTCAAAGAGGCACAAATAGAGAATATTATAGTAAATTCCTATGGACCTTTTACCCAGATTTGACAATTATCAACATTTTGCCAAAACTTCATCTAGCCCTCTACTTTTTTGGAGGGGGGCTGGAGTTTTTAAAATCCGACATAACATCATTTCTCCTATTAGGGCTTCACTTTCTGCCTCTAATTAAAACATCCAGTGTATCCTGACTGGTTTGACTCTGTGGTTAGAGCATTGGTCCATGGACCCAAGGGTCTTGGAATGTACCTGGGTTGCAGATTGGATCCCCAGGCCTGGTCGGGGTTGTGCAGGAGACAACTGATGTGTGTCTCTCTCACATCAATGTTTCTCTCTCTCACTCTCACCCACCCTCCCTTCCATTCTATCTAAAAATCAATGGAAAAATATCCTTGGGTGAGGATTAACAAAAATATTTTTTAAAAATCCAGTGTTATGCTATGCTAATATTATCTAATCTTTATATTCAAATTTCCCCGAGATTGTTGCAAATGTCTTTTTTGTTTTTAATGCTCACCCAAGGATATTTTTCTATTTATCTTCAGATAGAGTGGGACAGAGAGAGAGGGAGAGAAAGAGAGAGAGAGAGAGAGAGAGAGAGAGAGAGAGAGAGAGAGAGACATTAACATGAGAGGGACACTGACTGGTTACCTCTCACAGGACCGGGGACAAACCACAACCAAGGTGCGTGCCCTTGTCCAGAATCGAACCCACGACTCATTGGTGAGCCAAACTGGCCAGGGTGCAAATGTCTTTTTACAGTTGTTTTCTACTAACGTGGATCTAAACGGTCCACTAATTGTGCATTTAGGAAAATTAATTTATGTAAATGTTTATGTAAATTATGTTGTAGAGCTCACTGCTTCTGATTTTTTTCACTAAATGCTATGTTGCTTTTTCATATCTACAACTGAGTAATACTCCATAGTGTGCTACCTCTGTATTTTTCCTATCCATCTTTGTGTGTAGGACATCAAGTTGCCTCCAACTCCCCACCATTATAAACAAAGTTGGAATTAACATCCTTATGTTAATTATGAATACCCTACTGGGTCCATGTGAGAATTTGGGAGGGTATAAACCCAGGGTAAAATTGCTAGGTTTTGCTCTGGAAAAACTGTACCCTCCTACCTATAGCACACGAGGGCCCTGTATTTTAATGTCTATGCCAATGTTTGACATTATCCGGTTTCCTAATTTTTACCAATCTGATCTAAAGTGACATATAAACTGTTGCCTTAATTTGCATTTCTCTGATTACTTGCTAAGCCTTTTGGATTTACTTTTCTGTGAATTTCCTATTTCTATCTTTTGCCCATTTTTTTTGTTGGGTTACAGTCTCTTTTTTGTTGTCAATTTGCAAGATTTTCTCATATATTTTACGTAATAATCTCTTACGTATTGGTTTCAAGTATCTTCTTTCATTCCACCAAATTATTACCTTGGTATCCTTCATTAAACAGAAATCCTTAATTTTTTATGTAATCAAATTAATCAATGTTTAAAGTTTGTGCTTTTGAAGTTTTGTATAAGATTTCCTTTTGTACCCCCTGAGTCAGACATATATTCTACATTTTCTTCTCTTAACATTAATGTTTTCACCTTTCACATTTAGGTCTGTAGTCCATTTTGAGCAGTGCTGTCCAAATAGAAATATGTGAGCCACATATATAATTAAAATTTTTCTAGTAAACACATTTAAAAAGTAAAATGGGCCTGGCCGCTGTGGCTCAGTGGTTGAGCGTTGACCCCTGCACCAAGAGGTCTCTGGTTCAATTCCCGGGCAGGGCACATGCCCAGGTTGTGGGCCTGATCCCTATGGGGTGGGGGGTTGGGGGGCATGCAGGAAGCAGCCAAAGGATGTTTTCTCTCATCAGTGTTTCTATCTCTCTCCCTCTCCCTTCCTCTCTCTCTAACATTAATAAAGAAAAAAAAATTAAAAAGTAAAATGACCTGGCCGGTGTGACTTAGTGGATTGAGTATCATCCCATACACCAAGAGGTCAGAGAGTCAATTCCCAGTCAGGGCACATGCCCAGGTTTTGGGCTAGATCTACAGTAGGGGTGTGTGCAGGAGGCAGCCAATCAATGTTTCAATCTCTCTTTCTCTAAAAGTCAATAAAAAAGTTAAAAATAAAAAAATAAAGAACTTTAATACTTTTGAAACCCATTATAGCTAAAAGATCATTTCAACATATAATCACTAAAAAATTCTTAATGAAATTAAAATTTTTTTCCTTATTGATTTTAGAGAGAGAGAAAGTGAGAGGGAGAGAGAGAGAACCATCGATGAGCGAGAACATCGATTGGCTGCCTCCTGCATACCCTCCACTGGGGATTGGGCTCACAACCTGGGCATGTGTCCTGACCAGGAATCGAACTGGTGACCTTTTGATGCATGGGTCAACGCTCAACCACTGAGCCACACTGGCCGGACTTAATGAGGTATCTTAAATTTTTTTTTTTCTTCGGTCTTTGAAATCTGGTGTGTATTTTGCACATATGGCACATCTCAATTCAGACTAGCCACATTTCAAGTGCCCATAGCCACACACGGCTCCCAGCTGCTGTGTTGGACAGTGCAGATCCAGACTTCACCCTTGGAGGTGTTTTAGGTAAGATTGAAAACATTTTTCTCTAAAGAATTAATGCATTTTTATCTGTCCATATTTCCCCATTGATGTGTGGTGCCTGCATTATTGTATTTTTGTGCTATCACCTGTCTTGTGTCCCTCACTGCTTCATACCATTCTGTCATCTTTCTTGGAACTTTTCTTCCAGTCATACTCAAAGATGTCTCCTGAGACTTATTTTCTGACGTTAGGCTTATCATCTTCTATATCCTGTCCTTAAGGCTTCCTACACTTTGGTAACTTCAGCTGCCATGTGTGTGCACGTGATGCTCAAACTCCACTTTTAAATTTTTTTATTTATTTTTATCCTCACCCGAGGACATTTTTTCATTTTTTGTTCAGATAGACTGGGAGGGAGAGAGAGGAAGAGAGAGAGAGAAACATCGATGTGAAAGGGACACATCGAGTGGCTGCCACCCACACGACCAACCAGTGCCGGAGACAAACTGCAATCAAGGTACGTGCCCTTAGCGGGAACCGAACCCAGGTCTCTCTGGACCACAGGCCGACGCTCCAACCGCTGAGCCAAATCGGCCAGGGCAAACTCCTTTTTTTTTTAGAGAGGAAGGGAGAGATAGAAACATTGATGTGAGAGAGAAACATCAATGGACTGCCTCCTGCA